TGTTTGATAAATTAATGCATATGTTATATAATAAATGTGTCTCCATATTATGAATATTCACCTATATATTACTATGATGTGTTAGCATCCCCATCTCACTAAGTATTAAATGACTCACCTCTTTTGTGTACCATGTGCAAACAAGTGATATATACGTGGCTTAGCATTGTCATTTGGACGGACAAATTTTGGTATCTGGTAGGTTTCCACCCAATGGTTCACTCCGTTGAGTCTGGTCAACTCTAGCTTCTGCATTTGAAATTTTAAAGTTTAGAAAATAATGTATTTTAGATATTATAGGCATTAAGTGACATATGATTTGTATAAGGGTTGTTTTATACGAATCCGCCTTAAATGGTTAATGTATGGCCTTATGGATATTTGTGTGAGCTATGGGTTAGGGATTATGTGTTATGATGAACTTATTTATGAATATTCAATTATGAAATCCCTTAGCTCTATGTTATATAATTATAAACTTTAAGGCTTGCTTGAGTCTTGCAGGATTCGTCAACTAGGCTCGTGCACCAATCATGGACCCCCAAGTTTGGGTCATGACAAGAAGACACTAAACAATAAGACAAATGGAGAAAATCAATAACCTTATTTAAAAGGAAGCGAATGTAAAGAGACGGCAAAGGAAAACCTAAATCTAATAAACATAGATGGAAACCTATAAGCAAACAAAATTATAAGGTAGCAGGATGTTAGGAATTGATTGATAGACATAGAAAAGACAAAACCACTTAAACAAAACATGGCACCAATTTCAAACCAAGCATATTGATAGGCCGCACAGTATCAATCGGGTGGGTCCAAATTCCCAAAAACTAATTGATAAACCAAAGAGTCACACGTGACTCTAGAAAAGAGACATGAAAAGACCAATTGCCATGCCACTGACCCAAGCTGGCCCAAGACACTGAACCAAATACTAGAAACAGGACAAAAAACATGAGGAAACAAATCTCCATGCCACCAATCAGAGACGCCTAGCCAAATAACAACTCTTGAACTTCCAAAACCTATTGAAATAAACACAGGCAAAAAGCTAAGACGAGGGAAAGATTGGGTAAGAAGCAAACACCAAAGCTAGCTAAATAACCATTTTCAACTTCCAAAATCAAGGAACATAAAAAAATACATGCCAAGATCTAGGAAAACATAAGGCACACCATAGGCCACTTACCTCACATAGCAAACCCATACAATAAACCCTCTGTCTTCCAAAATAACTACACATGGAAGAACCCATGTGTCAGCACCTCAGGCCTTCATGGCCACTTGCAGACATGACCAATTTTGGGAGCCCCTTTAGGGCTTCCTTTTATATAGGGTAATTGATTGAAAAACAATCTTTAAATCCGAATCAAATTTTTTTTGTTTTCATTTTGCCTTTTTTTGTTGGTTTTGTTTGGAATCATTTGAATTTCCCAAGTGCATGATGTTCCTATCAACTTTTTCCCACCATTCTCTCACTTTTTTATTTTATTTTATTTTTTTTTTGCATTTCCTGCTCCCTCAATCCAAGCTTGAAAGCAACCTTTTTCCAAATAAACAAATTTAGGTATGATGCCCCACATCAATACGTAACTCAAGTGAAAGCTCGCATAACAAGAAGGTGTTGCACGGATTCAATTGTCTTGGGGTATTGGGCAATAATACTCTTTTGGTCAACTTATCCTAAGATACAAAAATAATGGCCGAAGGATGAGTTTGTGTGTTTGGTCCATTTGAAGAAAATTAAATGGTTTTGATGTGTTTTAGGCTCTAGCACAATCTTGACACGTATCAAGTTACTAACAGCACAACCCTCAAGGGTTGGGTCTCATGTTGTCAAGCCAATTAGCTAGGTTGTTGGCCTGTTTACCAAGCCAACTTGTTCACCAAGCCCTTTTGGTTCATGCTACTAACCAACATAATCATGCACATGTTTGGTTTGAATAGTCGAGCTATGAGATCCACCCTCACTTAATCCAACGAACACCATCGTTGTTGAAAGATGGATGTTTTTGTGTCATGCATTACCACTTCACATGTCGTCCTCTCAAACTTCTTTGCCTCAAACAACTTTTTTTTGTGTACTGTTGTCTCGAGCTCCCTCGCACTATGCGCTACCTTTTTTTAGGTGATTTTGCATTGGATGCCCTTGCTCACATATTGTCCCATCATGTGCTAATCCCTTGGGTATCACTATCTCTACACTTTTGTCTTGCTCACACTTCCCCAACATATGTTATCTCCTCTAGAACATATTGTGAACTAGTCCAACATTGACTCGACCCTTTAACCTCACAAGAGTTTGACTAATTTCCATAATTCTGCACTTATGCCTTGGGCCTCCTAGCCCATCTGACTCTTGAATTATGGCAGCATTGTTGTTACTAACCTTGGTTTCTCCCTTATAATATTTTATTGTCATTTATCTTGCTCCCCTTGATGCAACACGATACTACCTAACCTTAGTGCACTCCTATGCTCCCTTTGCCATGGATGGTAGCAATCCTTGCCATTGCAATAGCTCTTCTCTTGGGCTATTTGGGCTACTTGATCAGTCTCTTTTTCCCTATACAACACTAAACTTCCTTATTACAACTCTTTCTCGAGTCTTTTCACATGTTGGTTGCCATTCTTGTTGCTTAGACCCTCATTGTCCAAAAAGATAACGATGAACTTATTACACTTAGGCAATCCCTTGTCTAATGTAGTCCTTAGCATAAGAAACATCTAAAAGGCTTTTTCTCCCTTTGCTTCCCCGTGGCAATTGCCTTGGCCTGATGACGTGCAGGCTTCTCCTCGGCCTAGTCCCTTGAACTATTGTCCCTATGTCCCCTATCTAGTCCTTCTCCTTGGGTCAGGATGAGTGGAACTCAACCAGAATTTTGACCACCGTTATGGCTCGCGTGAAGTCTTGTATGCTTCTACATTAAAGCTCTTCCTTCATCCACGGCTTTAAACCTTTCGTAAATGTAAACATGGCTTTTTGCTTGCTCAAGACCCCAACTTATTCTATCAAATCCAAAAACTATTTCACATTCTCTCACACTTTGCCCTTTAGACCAACCTCCATAACTTTCCTCTTACTTTATTCTTGGTATATTCAAGGTAAGATTACTGTTGAAACTCTCTCAAGAACGCTTCAAAAGTACCAATGATCATTGTTTCAAGCTTGTCATCACATCAGTGCCTTCACCATAGCTAAGCTATATCCAGCAAGAACATTGCGATAACATTGATGTGCATGACATATTCTATGATCCTCACAACTTGAAAATATTGTCCCAAACTTCACAAAAAATTATTGACCTCTTTTTGGACGCGAAACTCTTTGGGCTTAGGCACCTTCAATTAAGGCCTTATTTCGATAGTAGGCACACCATCCCCTCTAGTTGCCTTGAGTGCAACATCCCATTAGTTCATGTTCACCAACCCGTTAAGGGTCAATTCCATCTCCCCAAAAAACTCATCATCTTAGGACCTCAACTCTTCAATGTTCGCTTTGACATCCTCAAATCGATCCCTCATTTCACCCACAACCACCTCCACGTTGGACACTCAACTATCTAAAGTGGACAACATGTCCTTCAAGCTTGACTTGTCCCACTTTGCTACACCTCGAGTCTTCCTCATCTCTTGGACAGGTGCAAACTAGTCAATTACTTAAGTCATTTCTCTTTTTTGTCAATCAACTTGGCTATGATACTATCACAAGCGAAGTAACTTAAGCACATACCACATGGCCTTAAGCCCTTCTTATCGAAATAAGCATAAGCCTAACCAAAACTAGTCAAGAATTTATGGTTCTTAAAGCAACATAAAAGCGACAAAAAAATAAAAAAGAAAAATGAGAGGAAAGCTTGAGAGAAATAATATTTTATTTCTAAACTTTGGTGTGATTTATAAATGAGGACCCTTATCAAACTTATCTAGAACTTCAATTCAAATAAATGCCTAATCCAAATGTAATAGCTATTTACATTTAAATTTATAGCACAACCAACTAAAAAGTTTAAGACAGACAAGACTCTTTCAAAAAAGTGTGTGGACTATTCTTCCTGTTGATATGGAGAAAGGACTAGGCTTCTTATCTATCAAGCCAATCAATTGGCTAGCTTTAGTTGTTGGCTTGTTTATCGAACCAGCCTACTTAAGTTATTGATCTGTCTACCAAACCACATTAAGCCCCCTTGGGTCATGCTTTGGACCAGTGGAATAGCACGCTCTGCTTCATCTAAACACTCAACCCATGACATTGATTTTCCACGTGAAAATACCCACAAAAAAACCTTATCGATCCATCATCACAACAAAAAATCTACTTTGATACAAAGATACTAAAATACCAATTCTTCATCTCATCTCTTTTTCTATTTGTAAGAAATATCTCACTTGTGGTGGAGGTGCATGTCTTTTTGCATATGCCATGCTTGAAAGAAATTAGTCCCTTTCACCAAAAAGACAACCAACTAATGTTGTGCTGTGAGAAAATTTTCACAAAAAAACAAAGGAAATTGGTAAAATTTCCCCAGTTCTGTCTTTTAATCTCTTTTTTTTTTTTGCTTTTGTATTAAAATTAGAAAAATTTTATAATTTTTAATGTAAAAATATTTAAAAATTATGAAAAATAAGTGCGAAATATAAAAATACATTATTGAGGATTTAAAAAAAAATACTGTAAAATAATAAAGAAAAATGAGAAGAATAGAGTACTGTAATACATTATTCAACAGTCGTTTTGAAAACTTCCATGCAATTTTACTAACAAACAAAAGGACTTATGACATTCATATATATAAATAAAGAATCGACCGTTAGGTCAACCAAAAGCAGGCGTCCATCACACTTAACGTTGGATAAATAATAAATAAGTTCAAGAAAAGGAAAAGAGATCAGAGACATAAGATAAAAGCAAACAATTAAGAACAAATATTACATTGATGATGATGATGAAGCAGATTGCACACATTAAAGTAAAAAAAAAAAATCAAAGAATAGCAAAATGAAAAGAAGAAAAGGGCATACATTTATCAGAACAACTCCCAATAGGTCAATTTACACGCAACATGAGCTTGAGCAAGGCCTTATTACAGCATATTTATGGGGAAAAAGGATATTGTGAAGAAATAAGAAAATGAAAAGATAGAAGCGGATGGACCTCTGCTACACACAACAATTGGAGAAGTCCACCTACTTTCCAGCTATATCCGTATTTTGTTTTGTGGCTGGCCCTTGTATCTCTTTGATACAAGAATTATCACTACCAACTATCTTTTATCAGACTTGACCTGATTAACGCCAATGTGGCTCTGTACATTCTCGTTCCATGAGGGATCCGCTGGAGGTAGTTGATATTCATCAGGTTTCAACGCTAAAGCAAAATCTGGTAAAGTTGGAGCTGTCTCCATGATTCTGAACATCACATTACCACCAATACCCAAGTTACTGTGTCTTTGTCAACCTTGCTTTTATTAACCAAAAGAATTGACTCTTAAATTTGCAATCAGAAACCATACACTTACTTTTCATGAGAGTAGAGGTCACGGTTTATCCGCACCTTGCTAGAAGTGTCCTTTGGAATTTTCTCAGAGAGATACTTCATTGTTCCCCAAAGGGGTGGATTTCTGCACCAACCATCAAGAATCTTTAGCACGTATTTAGGAAGTCAGCGTGATCTGCTAGTGCAAGAGACAGAAAATCTAGCAATTGGCAACTTCAAATAGCTAGAAATGCTAGTTTGTCAGTATATAGCAAATAGAGGTCCAGTCCCAATAGAGCAAGCATCTAGAGAAATCATGTTGGCTAGATCAATTTACCAATCTACAAGATTACTTGATCAAAGGGGCCAGTCAAGATGGTACCCAAGGTCATATACTTTAAAATCTAGCCTCCAAGAGGCAGGAAAAACTAAACACTTCTGTAGTGTACCATTATGGGGAAATGTACAGTAACACGTATTTGTATCTTTTCCCAAAGAAAATGAACCAGCAAATCTCATTTTCTCATAATTAATTCTTCTCTCCAGATAAAATTTTCAACACAAACCAAGATTCTAAATACTAGGCAGCTCATATCAGCAAAATCTCAAAAGGCTCAGGACAAAAATTCCACTAAGAAAATGCTCAGGGAAATGCTTTGACATGAAATTTAGATGTAATGCATTATGTGTAACTAGAAATTAATCACACAGACTACCCGTGTTGTTAAATAAAAAAAGTTTTCTTATCACATAATTTTAGTTGTAAGAACAGATTATTATTAATGAGGAGATGGGAGATGCCAGTTTTTGCATGTAAACCTAAAATAGGAAAAGTGGGAACAGTGTAAGAGTTTGTTACCAAATTGAATAAGACACCAACTCAATATTCAACTTTTTAAAATATACCAGTGAGTTCGTTTGATAGCAACTCACCTACTGGCATCACATATTAGAATAAATGTATAATCTAGTTAGAATCTTGAACATGTCAATTTATGCATCTCTTTATGAAATTGTTTCTTTTAAACTAAAAAGACAGCAATTTCCAATAAAGACATCAATTTATGCCACCAATCTCGTGCAGCATAAGGATTACCAAGAGTTTGGCTCATAGCTTAATAGAGAAGGTAGGCACCTTCCTAGGTACCTAGAGGATCATTAGAATGTGCACAATTCAGTTGAGGTTGATTGGCAACTTTTTTCTATGGGGACACAGACTGTAGTGAACTCATAGATCAGCTGGAGCAGGACTTTGAGGAACCCTAGATGGAGATTTCAAAATAGTGGAAACCTACATCCTCAGGATAATGACCTTGGAAAGGATATAGTACCGACAACCACATTCATGCTGACAGGTAATTTTGACGTGAAAGATGGAATAGAGGATGATGTTCGATATGAGAATGAGAAAAGGAAAGTGTACCTACAATAGTGATTAAAGACAACAAACTTGAATTTATTGGGTGCAAACAGGAATTCCCTATTCAGAGTTCTACTGGGGGAAATAAATTGGTACTAGTGATTTGAAGTTAGTTGTTGGGTTTGATCACAATTTTGCTCATATATAGAGTTCACCTGGTTGCCCATTCAGTAATCAGCCCTGAATTCCTATTTGACTTTATTCTCCCACATGACACTTCTCTTTTTGATCCTTTGAAATTCTCTACCAAACATGCTGGGATTAAGCAGAAAACTCTAGTGGCTTTTTTCTTTTAGAAAATAAAAAATAACTTATATGGATTTTAAATTTACTACAGATGTGCATCATAGGACTAAGGAATTTTTGCTACTAATGATATCTTGGTTTGCATCCCTCTTGAATATTTTATGGATGACAAATTATCACACTTTTAGCCTTTTGCTTTGTTTCCTGGTTTTCCTAGAGGCACTCTCGTTGGGTTGTAGTTCCCTTGCCACCTTCCTATCCCATTCCTGTTCCCACAAGGATAAAATTACCTTAGTGCCATAGCCTATAAACATAAATAAATGCTTCCCAAAAATTTTTTTTTAAAAAAAAGAAGAAAACTGTATAGAAAATAAATATTATTTTTTAAAAGCTAAAGGGAGAATGACTGCAAATATGTAAATCAGAAAAGAATCCAATAAATTACCTGGATAAAGGATGAACTGCATTAAACACCTCACAGGCCTTCTTACTTTCTTTGAAATATTCATCACCAGCTTGCAAAGCAGCTACAGCCATTCCATGGGATTTCTCTGTATTTCCCTCATCGAGGATTAATCCGTGATAATAATATGCTGCAGCCTGTACTTGTTGTAAATTAATAAATATAATTATAATTACTACCATTATCCAAGAAATCAACCTCAAGATAGTCATCAATACTAGCACCATATGTTAGTAGCAGAAGAAACCAGATTGGGTGCATCATTACAGTCTGATTATATTAGCATGTAATTTACATTATATTATTTTAATACAAAAGTAATATCATAACCTGCAATGCAAGAAATTTGATCTGAGAAAGGTCACATTTGAACTTACTAGGTAGAATCCTAATAACAAAAAGATAAGACTGGCGAGTAAAGTTGGTCCGGAAATGGCCAGCATGACCAACCAGTAACAATCCCTTCTACAGAAAAAAAATCAGACATACTCAACAGTAATAATCACTGCAACACCCTAAAGATATAGGCACCATTTCTGAAATGTGCTATGCATTTAAACTACAATGCTGATAATTATTTATATGTTTTCTCAGACTGAGTTGAATTGTAGACATTCATCCAAGCATCTGACATGACAATTGCTCGGAATTGAAGACATTGGTATACAGCTATGAAGGTCTGAAAAAAGAATAAAGGTGCAGAAATTCTTCATTCATATTAAAGCGTTAAGATGTTTAATATTCCTATATCAGTAGCCTAATAATTTATGTGAAGTTAAACATAATACTAATGTTTTGGTTTTGGGTCTTGAAAATGAAACAAAATTAAAAAAGCCTACCTCCCGGCCAGCCCAAAACTCTAAAGCAGAATGACGTCCAAATGTCCTTCAGTTTTTCCTTCTCATTTATTGAAATTGGTTCAAACTATACAAACAAATAGCAGTGTATTGATTTTTCTTTCTTACTTCCTTTTTTTTTATTGGGAAAATCGTATTAATAAATGAACCAAATTAAAACAAAACAAAATAACAACAAATGAGTTGGAGCCATTAACAATGAAAAGATTGGAGTCAATCACGTGACTGAATTTGAACAATATTAGTGTTTCTTTGTCTACCGCATGAAGATTTTACAGTAATTGAAGTAACAGGGTTAGAGCAGACAGAAAATTCTGGTTAGAGCAGCAAGTTGGCACACAGTTTCATTATTTCCTCATTCAATTTAGGGGAGTTTGGACACATATTCCATACAAATGTCAGTCTGAAGCCATGTTGACACGGGTACACCAAAAATGCGAAGTCCAAGTAATATAGAGTTATTTAATTCAAATTCCACCAATATAAATGCTCCATATATCACTATATTTCAACTAATTCTCAAACTCTTCTCAAATAACCATATCAAGCCTTTCCTTATTGCATTGCAGAAAGTTCAAGAACATTCATCACTCCCTTAAGGTTGCTTGTCAGCTACCAAACATATCTCGCCAAAGTGCATTAATATATAACAAGGTAAGTGCCTTGTCTAAGTTGCAGACTAATCTCTTTCTTAGCTACAAGTAAAATATAGTTCACACTGCTAGAAATTCTAGCAAAGATCCATTTGATTGATATTTCTACGTTCAGTATAAATTGTTTTTATTTCTTGAAAGATCTATAAACTGAAATTTTCATTCAAGAATGCACTAGGAGAATATTTACATAACCATGCTTTTGGCCTCATAACTAAAAAGAGAAATGAAAGAAAAGAGGATATACCCTAGCTTCAATGTATTTCCACTTCACAAAATGTCGATGCTTTTCACCCCAGCCATTTGATAATGGAAGATTCATAACGTTATCTTGAGCCTGTGAAGAAATGGCAACAAATATAAATACATGGTTGAAGATCACTGCCTACACTTTGTTCAACAAATAGATGATATATTGAGACAAGATAAATGATTATAAAACGCTTGGTGAAGAAAAAAGGCAAACCATGCTATTGTTGTAGCAAAATAAGTAAAATTTTTCAAACTTTATTATCAACTACGATAAATTTTTTGCCTTCCAAAATAAAAAAACTATGATAATTTTTTTTTTTAAATAAAAAGGTCATCAGAGATGCTCATTAAGTGCCAAAAATTGCAAACTAGGTGTAAGTTCTAGCTCAAGTACATTGATTGGCGTCAATGCACATTTTTCATCCAAGAACTAATGAAACTAATCGGACTCAGCCACTACCACAGCAACAGCTGTCTAATTTTGGTAATCGACACAAACCTCATTTGAAAGGGTAGAATTACAACCTTCATGACCAATCTCAAGACTTTGTACTACAGAATGGTTACTTTCATCAAGTACTAATTTTGATTATTATCATGGCTTCATGAGTAATCCAATTTCAGCCTCATTGTCTCAACTACCTCATGTACAATTCCTTCGTGATCTTCAAATTGTCAGCATACATTCTTAAGTCTCTTTAACTCACAATCTTCTCATTCACAACATTGGTTTCCATTTGGACATTGTTGTCTAGTGAATTTGAGAATAAAATAGAGGTTAAGCAAATCCAAGACAAGAATACAAGAATGTTGGATAAGCATACTGTCTCATCTATGGACATCATCTTACCTAACTCATTGCATAGACATAAGAAATAAGGGTCTACAGAAATAATTTTGTCTTCAGAGCACAAGACTCACAATCTCCAAAGTCTTGTTCTGATTTATCTTTAAAGGTAAAAGATTTTAACCCACAATGCTTCAAAACTAGAGGAAAATTTTCTTCTAACCAAGTTACCATGAGTGAACGATGCAGCCACTGTCAAAATAGCCAAGTTCTCCCAACCTTCTCTTTCTTTTTTCTCTCTACTTCCAGCATTTCTCACGTCTTCTTTCCTCTTTATTTCCTCCAAATTTTCCCCCTTTCCCTAGTTTTCACCCTATTCTATCTCTCTATCCCCTCAGTTGTTCTGCATTAATTGCTCATCCTCCAACCAGCTTGGTTTTTGTTGTTCTTCGAAGATTCATTTTTATTTTGATCATCCACCCTTGACAAAGTAGAAGCAATTAGTCACTAGTGATGAGTCATCTTTGATCCTCAGGTTATAAGTCTTGTCTCCTATGAGTTGGAGAAGCACCACCTCTCATTTGCTCCCTTTAAATTCACTAGTTACATGCTCACACACTGTGCAATTTTATTTCAAAATAAATGGATTACAAATTACGCATGACGCATAAAAAAAATCGTCAAAGATTTGAGAATAACAATTATCAATAATGGACTTGCCATAATAAAACACCGAAATATTATGATGTCTACGAAGCTTCATGTTATTATAGTTAGAGTTTATATTTGATGCACTATTGGTGTACAGATGATATACACTATCAGTCAACAAAAAAATTGAACCCTCATTAACAAACAAAGCTAAAAGTTCATAGGTCATCAGACATAAATATTCATAACTTTACGTTCTCAATTAATTACATATTAGTTTCAAAAAAAATTAATTACTTATTAAATGAAAAAAGTTCTGGACCTTTTTTCTTTTAACTCTTCCCCTTTTAACTTTTTTTAAATTTCTCTTTTTCAAATCTTCCAACAGAAAAAGTAACCATGCTCTGATAATGGCCTTTGTGAACTGGAGTCCACTGGCTAAAATCCAAGAAATAACCAATGTTGGCCATGAACCATGACAAGCCCTTTCTGACTAAAGGTGTTCATGGAACTTAGAAGCCAAACCTGTTGCACCCCAACTTCTGTACACTCTTTTGGTCTTGGTATAAGTAATGTTTCATTTGTAGAATGGTGAAAAGTTGTGGTTGCTTAGGAAACAGAAAATTTAAATGTTTGATTGCGTGAAAATAATGATTAGGGCTTGTTTTGTTTTCTTCTCTCTCTTGCACCCTCAGCCTAAACTCCTTCACTAACCTCTCCCAGACGTTTAAAAATGCTCAAAGCACTTACAAGAAAGCTATTTACCTGCTCCATACAGAATTTTTATTTTTGATTCATTAGATGCTTGAACTTTTCTTTGTTTGTTGTGGTTCAAGAGAGAGAAAATTGAAAAAGAAAATAGGAGAAATAATTTTTATTTATTTAAAAACTTAAAATTATGGATATCTATGTTTAAGGACGTCTAAACTTTTACTTTGTTCATTAATGAGGTGTCATTTTCTGATAGACTGTTTGTATATAGCACTGATCCACTAGTAAAGCATCAAATATAACCCCTAATAGCTAATAATATTTCTTAACATATAATATGGTATTGTTTTTTCTTTTCTTGTGTTCAACCCAATACAAATTGTAAAAGAATAATACTCTATATTGTTATAGAATAGGAAATCTATAAATATTCCTTTATTAACTAATGCAATTATAAGAATTAGGAAGTACCATAATTATAGAGATTAGGAACCATTATAATTATAGAGATTTTATATTCTTTATTTTTTATGCCTTTCCTATTCCAGAGATGTTAAGGTTGTGTATATAGATGATGTATTATGAATGAAAAATGTTGAGTTTTCTCTTCCAAAATAACATGGTATCAGAGCTGTTTTGATAGATCTTTTTTCTTGAAACAGAATTCTTAGTTTCTGTTTTGCACCCAAACCCATATAGGGTGACAATCTGATCTCACAGCCCGCACTAAGAGGAAACCCACTTACCAATTGACTTCGTCCCAAAATCCTGCCACTGGAGTCCCTGCAAGTGGCTGTCATGCGCCACTTTTAGTTTCTGGCTCTGTTCCACAAACCAGTGTGTAGGGGCCATCCACCGGAGATTTTCACTCTAGTTCTCTTCTAGTATTCACATCAGAAGGTTTCAACAAGATAGTTCAGTACGCTTGTTGGGTTTTGTTTCTGGGTTTTCAAGATGGAAAAGTCTGCGCTTGAGAAAAATTTAGTGGTAGTGGCTGATGTGATTCTTGTGATGACAACAGTCACAAAGCATAAGCTTAATGGTTTCAATTATTTGGATTAGAGCAAGATAGTTCGAATCTATTTAAGAAGCATTGATAAGGATGATCACATTACTAATGATCCTTCTACTGATAATACAAGGCAAACCTAGATGAGGGAAAAAGCACGACTGTTTTGGCAAATTCGAAATTCCATTAACAGTGATTATTAGCCTGATTAATCATTGTTTGTTAAAAAGTTAATGTATTATTTAGATTTTTTATATTCTAATAAAGGGAACATCTCTTGTATTTATGATGTATATAAAGCATTTTATCATGCAGAGAAACAAGATTGGTCTTTCACAAACTATTTTATGAATTTTAAAATAATTTATGAGGAGCTTAATGTTCTGTTGCCTTTTAGTCCTGATGTGAAGGCTCAACAGGAGCAAATGACAGTTATGAGGTTTCTTGCACGTCTCCCTCCAAAGCTTGAGATTGTCAAATCTCATATTCTTTCTAGTTCTAAGATATCCTACTTGCATAACTCCTTTACGAGAGTACTTCACACAAAAAGCTCCAGCTCCAAGTTGGCTAAGACTAATAGCAGTGCTCTCGTAAGTCGGCAAAATAATAAGAATGGCAATACAGGAGGAAAGGGCAATCGTAACCGAGATGTTGATAGTCGTAGTCAGGAGTCAGGAGGAATTGTGTGCTATTATTGTCATGTGTCAAGCCATACGAAGCATTTTTGTAGAAAACTCCCAAATAAGTCCCAGCAAGGTCAATCAAGAAATGTTGCAGCTTCTAATACTTCATCTTCCAAGAAGACTATTCTAGTTTCTGTAGATTAATTTGCTCAGTTCTCTCAGTACCCAGAATCATTAAAATCTGCTACTTCTCCTTTCACTACTATCATTGAGTCAAGTAACCCCACTACATGTCCTATTTCCTCATCATCCAAATGCGTCAATGATTCTAGTGCCTTAGATCACATGACAAGTAATTCGAATCTATTTTTCACTTTCCAATCACATATAACCTCCTCTAATGTTACTTTAGCAAATGGGTCAACCTCTTGTGTGCTTGGTTCTAGAATTGTTAATCTAGCTCCATCAATTTTGTTGTCCAATGCCTTAAATTTACTAGAGTTTTCTTTTAATCTAATCTCGGTTAGTAAACTCACTCTTGCTTTGAATTGTTGCATCTCATTCTTTCTCGATCATTGTCTATTTCAAGATCTTACAACGAAGCGGATTATTGGTAGAGGTCATGAGTCTCGAGGTCTCTACTATCTTGACACACATGCTGAGATCCATTGTTTGTTCAAGTGCATTAACCCCCTTTGAGATGCATTGTCGGTTGGGACATCCTTTTTTATCTTCCTTGAAAGAAATTATGTCCTCAATTTCAAAATGTATCATTGTTGGATTGTGAGTCATGTTAGTTTGCCAAACATCATTGTCTCCCTTCAGTTTCTAAAGTCAATAAGCTAGCTATGTCCACCTTTGAGTTAGTCCATTCTGATGTTTGAGGTCTTGTCCTATTGTGTTTAAGTCTGGTTTTAAATACTTTGTTACTTTTGTTGATGACTATTCCGTGTCACTTGACTATATACTTAATAAAAAATCGTTTTGAGTTACTTTATTTTTTGTGCCTTTTGTGCTAAAATAAAAACACAAGTGCACATTATGAAGTGATAAAGCCAAAGAATATTTTTTTGATAAATTTCAGTCTTATATGATTCAAAATGGCATTCTCCATCAATCTTCTTGTATTTGGAGTTGCCGAGAGAAAAAATAGTCAACTCCTTGAAGTAGCCCGAGCACTTATTTTTCAGTTGAAAGTTCCTAAACAGTTTCAGGCTGATGCTGTCTCCAAAACTTGTTTTCTGATTAATTGGATGCCTTCCTTTGTCTTTCATGGTGATATTCCTATACTGTCCTCTTTCCTT